TTGCTTTAACGGACTGCAACATTTGAACTGTTTGCGCGTTTCCAGAAAACTGAGACCAAGTGCACTATGTCATTGTCCAGTGAGTCCATCTGGTAATTAGTGAAAAAAGGGAATTGGGAATTGTGGAGAGTTCAGATGCCTAGGCGGGATTTGAACCCACACATGGACGCTTCTGTACAACTTGCGCTCTACCAGCTGAGCCATGGGGCACCGTGATGTCACTGACCTTACACATTTGACTCAATGCTATCGGCGCAGTCTGGAATCTCGGCTGGTAGAGTGCGAGCTATACAAAAGCCTAGGTAGCGTCTGTGCGTGAATCGAATCCCACCGAGGTTACTGAAATTCTCACAAATCAGCATAAGACTTCATTCTGCCAAATAACAAGTTCAGCAGGCAAATAATCTACTTCCCGCGCCAGATTCACAGACGAGGCATAATGTGTGTGTGTGTGTGTGTGTGTGTGTGTGTGTGTGTAAATAGGCCTGCGAGCTGACACATTTTCGCCCGGTAAAACTGCAACTGAATCAATAGTAAATGCTAGTTGATTGGTATATTTTATTTGCCGGGGTTTTACAACTAGTCCTTTTTTGATCAATCAGCTTACATTTTTAAAGGGACATTCCGCTTGAGTGCTTCATTTCAAGTGTTTCCATCATCGTCCGTGTGAATACCGTGTCTATTTAAATGAATTTTCCACTCATTCAGGTCACAAAAGCTTTTACCTCAAAGTGATAGAACCGGATAAAACAGTACATCTGAAAAGTGAATCTTCCGTTTACACATGCATCTTGCAAAACCGTGTCAAATCGATTCCACTGGAAGATCGTGATTCACCGCGTTGGCACTCGAATGATCTGGCAATCAAATCAATTGGGAATCGTCTGATTCTCGACGTGGACACCGATATCGGTCTGCATGTGGTATATTGTTTATACAACCTGAATGACTTTACTCTGCAAATCAATCGAACATTTCTTCTTTGTGGTAAGCGTATTTCGGTGGATGCTCACTTACTTCTGGTGTCGTTGTTCTTGACCGTGTTTGTGAACTCTCGTAAATGTAGAAATATTTTCCACATATCCTTTGCACTGAAGAGGAAACTCATTCCCATCCACGGTTTTGTCAAAAATCACACCTAATACATATCCCATTCGCACTAGCGTTGTCAGCAAATCTCATGCAAGTAAATCAATCATCCGACTGCAATGCATTCAACAAATTTGCACAGCATGTCTCTAATACTTTGAAGATGACAACCACTTTCTCATCACAGTTGGAAAATGTCTATCTACGCTTAATGTAACCAACTACGATATACTTTATCTTTGAGCATTCCAAAGGAGAAAGCAGTCAATCAAAACGGGAAAGTTCCAATTTCAGTTTTCACAGCCATCAACTATGCATTTTCATGAATGGGTTCAGGTTTCACCTGTCGTTCGATGGACTTCGTCAAACTCTCGTGCTCGTCGTCACGCTGGATTTGATTACTTCAAATTTGACTCAGTCACTTGTGAGTGGTGGTGTGCGATAATTGTTTTTTATTGATTTGAACTGACTATCCTTCGGATTTCACCTTCATGCACAATCCTCAGTACATCGATTCAATCATACACTCGGAAGCACTAGACTCAAGTTCAGCTCTCATTGAAGCTCATCAGTAGTGCATAGCCACCAGTCCCGTCCGGAATTTGAACTTCGAACCCGTCGCATGGAAGGCGTATGCGTTACCACTGTACCAATCAGCTCATGCCATGGCTAAACCAAATTACCAATTCATTTTTGTTCAGATGTTGTCTTCAATTATAGTCGGTTCATTTTGGCCCGACAGCAACGAAGGAAGACACAGATGACATACTGTTAACTGTTAACTGTGAGTCAAATTTGAATTATCAGTCCAGCCTTGTAGATTCTTTGACGAATCAGTCCGTACCTGCAAGGAAGTCCTGACTTGATTGGAGGCTTTCGATTGGAGTTAAAATCGGTGTCTCCCTTCGTTGATGTCGGGCCAAAATGAACCGACTATAATTGAAGACAACATCTGAACAAAAATGAATTGGTAATTTGGTTTAGCCATGGCATGAGCTGATTGGTACAGTGGTAACGCATACGCCTTCCATGCGACGGGTTCGAAGTTCAAATTCCGGACGGGACTGGTGGCTATGCACTACTGATGAGCTTCAATGAGAGCTGAACTTGAGTCTAGTGCTTCCGAGTGTATGATTGAATCGATGTACTGAGGATTGTGCGTGAAGGTGAAGTTCGAAGGATTTGATTACGTTTAATTTGTCAATCTTGATGCAGAGCAGGTTCAGGATTTATTCATATTCTGTCAGACAAACATCTCGGTCTTCTTCCGTTTCCATATCCCTTTATTAGTTCCATTGTGAAATGAAAATTTTCACTTGCTTGCTGGTAACTTCAATGATGCGAGCATTTTCCCTAGCTTCGTTTGGACTGCATGAACTGTCATACTCTCCTATCAGAGGTAGTTTGGTGCAGAACAGCGTGATAGCAAATCATCGCAGCTTGTTTTTTATCTCTTGTCAATTGTGTTACTCCATAGAACAGTTTTTTATACATGGTGGCAGAATTTCCTCACTCTTTTAACATCATTGAGTAAGCACAAGTAAGGGCCTACAAATAGAACCGAGCATCGATTTTAAAGCGCTACTACGACTTTCTCAAATCTGAAGTAACACATCCAAATGACATTTTTACTGACTAACTTCTGCGAACAAAGAACATCAGCTATTAGAGCAAGGTTTTCGTCTTTTCTGAAAG